TTCCAATATCTTTGTTACTTTTTAGAGATACTTGTACTTAGTACTGAACTCCATTAAGAGCTTAAATCTCAATCCCCACTTCAGTAACAACAAGCATTATGTAACTAGAATAGGGTTATTGCAGATTACATAATGCCGAAATTATCCATATATTGAATGACTTGTTGTTACCCTTTGAACTCATGGATTACTTATTGAGTAATGACAGGTAGGGTTGCTATCATTGATGGACTTTTAGTTCAAGAATTTCAATCCCATTATACTCGAAGTAAATGTTACTAAATCTCTATTTAGAGGTTTAGTTAATGATTCCGCTAAATTCTCTATTGACTTTACATAATTTAAGGAAAATATTCAACTCTTGATTAATTTCCTTATGTAGACATGTACTCATATGTCTAGACTTTCCATTATATACCTCATTGTATGCTTTTGCTAATGTGGCTTGACTATCACACATGACAGATATCGAAGATGTATTCTTCGATCTCAAAGGTACCTCATAAAGTAGATCCTTAAGCCACTCAACTTCACTCAACTTCTTTCTCGATTTCTGATAATGCTACAAATTCAGATTCCATAGTTGAGTATGTTTTACATTTTTTTCTTCGATTTCCAAGAAACAGCACCACCTCGAAGAGTAAACACCCAAACAGAAGTGGATTTACTTTCATCCGTGCTAGATATCCAACTAGCATCCGTAAATCCTTCCAATACAGTTGGGAATTTAGTGTATTGCAGACATTAAGTTCTTGGTTTTCTTTAAATAGCCAAGAACTCTTCCAATGACATTCAAGTGATCATTGCTCGGATTACTAATAAACCTACTAAGTTTACTAATTGCAAAAGCTATATCTGGTCTTGTGCATTGGACATCGTACATAAAACTCTCGATAGCACTTGCATACTCTAGTTGAGCAATTTCTCTTCAATCATTCTTTATTAGCTTTGAACTTGGATTAAGAGGGGTACTACATTCCTTTATGTTCAAATGTTTGAACTTATCTATCACACTCTCGATATAGTGTGATTGACTTAAGTGATAACCCCCACTAGCTTTAGTAAC